TGCTCATTGCATGAGTTAGCTGTTTGAAACCTGGGACTTATGCAGGGATGCTTGGCTCAATCTGGGAGGAGGGGACTGGACCTGCCTGGACTGAGTCTACCAGGTTGATCTCAATCCTCAGGGGAGGCGGAATGGGAGGGGGGCTGGGGGGAAGAGGAAGGGGGCAGGAAGGGGGAGAACAAGGGAATCTGTGGCTGTTATGTAGAACTGAATGGTATTGTAAAATAAAATAAAAGGAAAAAAACACAAAATACAAAAAAAATAAATGTAATATATAATTAAGAAATACAGATTAATAGTCATCTATAATAGTAAACTTATAGTCATGTTAGTTAGGTTTTCAAACACATACAGGGTCATATTTCAGATAGATAGACAATCTTCAAACACTTCAAAGATGTACAGAACATGCCATTTAAAATCTTTTAAGAACTTAGACTTTCCTTAACAGTGAGACACATCTGCTTCTGGCAGCACCAATTACTTCCAGGAGGATAATGGGCATTGAAGAAACTCCATGTGAAGTTTTTTTTTTTTTCTTTATTGGTAAAAGCTAGTAATGTGGGCAAAGAAATTGCCTTTGCCTTGATTGCTGACTGTTATTGTCCAAAACGGACCAGCAGGATGCAAGAAAGGTGAATACCAAACTTTGCCAAGACAAAGTAGGACAGTCCTCCAAAATTCCCTGCTTCACAGGAAAGTCTGTCAGACATGACAGCTAAGCCTATAGGCCACAGTTGGATCCCCCAATGTTACAAAGAAACATTGAGTGACTTAGGGCAACTGATGTCCCTGTCATTAGGTATCATTTCACTCTTCTGAGTCTTTGATGGAATTGAAGACTAAAAAGTTATAATTATTATTTTTCTTAGTTATAACAGAAAGTAAATTAGATACAAAACTTTAGACTCATCAAGATAAAATAGATAGTTACTTTCTCTAATTTTGACAAATGCAAATGGATTGGATATTGTTACTGTACTCTTACTTAATAACTATTTTTCTTGCATGTAGTTTTACTACAACAAGGTTAAAATCTTCCTTTTTAATTATACAAAAAGGGGAAATGCTGTGGAACAATCCTTTTCTACACAATGAATATGTATTACTCTCATTTGCTAATAAAGAGCTGATTGGCCTATAGCTGGGCAGGAAGAGATTGAACATGAGAGCCAGACTAGAAGAATTCTGGGAAGAGGAAGGGTGGAGTCAGAGCATCTGGCAAAGTCAGAGAAGTAAGATGAAAATGTTGCACTGTGAAAAGGTACTAAGGCATGCGGCTAAACATAGATAATAATTATGGGTTAATTTAAGTGTAAGAGTTAGTTAATAATAAGCCTGAGTTATCAACCAAGCATTTATAAGTAATTTTAAGCCTCTGTGTCAGTTACTTGGGAACAGGGGGTTGGGACAGATGGACAGGAAATGTCTGATTACAATATTATTTGAAAGAAAATCGTGAACAATGTCATCAGGCTCCCAACACTTATGATCACATCATACCTAAAACCACATACCATTTTCCTCTTATACAGAAATTAATGTTTTACAAACAAACATAATTATAGATCAGATAATAGGAAATGTTGAACTTGGAAGTGATTTTGAAACTTGCTTATGAAAGATCTTGCTTTTTCTTCAAGGAGTCTGACCTCGTGGTCTGTTGTACTTTCTTTAACCTTCTCAACAATAATCTCATTCATTTCTTTCAGATTTATTCTAAGAAGTGCAATCTGGAAGAAGAAACTTGGGTTCATGGTTATCTCTTTCAAAGCTAGAATGGTCATGAAAAATTAGAATTGTAGTTTTGGTAGGAAATTTTTGATATTAAATAGCCTATTTTAACATAAACTATGGATCTTTATAAGTTCACACAAATATTATTCAAATTAGTTTTTTTCTCAATGTCTAAAAATATTTAGATTAAGTAAACTTCAAGTGTATGTACATATGAATACACACATACATTCAAATATATGTATATAGTATTTTCTATGCACTTATTGAAAGGGGAATAATTTAGCTTCCAGTTCAAAGGCAGAAAAATAGTTAATATTAGCATTAACAAACCACACATATCATATTTCTCGATTAAATTACAGTTCTCTTTTTTATGCGGAGTAAAAAGGAAAACTGACTTATAATGAAGAAGTAAGACAGAACTCAAGGTAGAAAGGCATTTGGTTTGTTCATAGCCGTTAAGCAGCATTTTGAAGGGCATAATGGAACAAATGGCTATGAATTAGGGCGACATCTTTCTTTGCTTTTCCAATACATTATCGAAATAGAAATCTGGAAGAAAATAGTCACTGTCTGCTGGAATGTACTGTGCATTTTCATTAGAAATCAATACATAGTTAGGTAATAATAGTTAGGTTATTTGCAGAATAACTGAAATTCTAGTCCATAACCATGTGCTGATTAGAAGTAAGATATTTTAAATTAATGAGCAGTGTCATTCCTAAGAATTACAATCAATGCCATGCTCACAAACAAAAACTGAATGGAAGAGGAAAAGGATGAAAAGAGGATTTAAAAGGATATCTATGTCACCATAATTTGTTTTTTAAAATGAACCTTGAGTGACTATATTGTGAGAATGTACTCATCTTTAGCATCTGTAGGAAGGAAAATTATATTTCCAAGATTCAAATTTTAATACATTGTGTGTAGTTTATCTGTGATGTCTACATAGGCACATGGTAACAGTCATGATGTACCTCATTTAACTACCATCAGGAAGAAAATGTGATGGAAAGTCATCATGGAATTGTTCACAGAATAGCAATGCATTGTAACAAATGTCATCATAATTACAATCACTACCACCAACATACACATTTGACATATAGCTACATCTTCCCATTTAAATACACTCCCATTTTTCTAGCATTATTCCAAGTGTCATACCTATTTTAGAAAAGAAAATAAAACCTTGATCTCCAATAGAGATAAGTTGTATTCTTAAAACCTACTGAAATGGTAGATATCTAGATACAGTTTGACTTCTAATGTATGTTTGTAGTTAAGACAATTTCTCACTGTGTAGTCCTGGCTTTTCTGGAATTCACTATGTAGACAGGGGTGGTCTCAAGCTAACAGATATTTGCCTACCTCAATCATTCAGGTGCTGGGATTAAAAGGTTGTCCCACAACACCTGGATATACAAGATCATTTAATATATTATTACCCACTCTATAGTTAATGTGCTTTTGTTCTTTGTTTATTGACAGTTACAAAAAAAAGTAGGGGAGGCAACAACAGTGTGACTAAATTACCATTTTTTGGTTTAAGTTTTCTTAATTTAAATGTATTTCTAACCACAGAAATAACTGGCTATTTGATTGTTCATTAAAATTAAACAACTTTTCCTTCATTCTCTTTTTTTTCTTTTCTCTCATTTGAATATTAATATTACATTGAAAGATTTTGCAAGAATGGCTAAAATGCAAGCAAAATACATTCTTTATATTCCATGCATAAAAGCATGCAATTGCATACAGATGGCATTTGTCTACCCACCCTGTAATCAAACAGCTGCTTCATGCTACAGGCAGGAATTATGTAACTATTATATGACAGTAGATTTTGCAATATGGTCTGTGTGTTTTTAATTTATCTGTTGACAGGTGCACTAAGAACCACTTCAGCTATGTTGAAATGAATGGAATAGAAAATTCTGTTCTAATAAGTGTTTTTAACTATGAGTAAATTTTGACTTGAAAAATATTCTCAGCTTAGGCCTGGATGTTCAGGCCATCGTATACTATTTTGAAACAATCACAAGTTGTCATTGAGGTCAACTTTGAGAGCTTGATGATTCTGGCACATTTATGCATGCATAGAAATATTTTATTCCTGTAAATTTTAGTCAATTTATTTTAAGCCCCCTTTCAAAAGTAACATTTTAATGTATCACAAAATATGTAGTTATGACAATTAATAGATATTTACTGGAAAATTAACTGTTTTTCTTCATTAAAACATATAATTTATCAAAAATCTTATATTTCTACATAGGAAGTAGACACAACTAACATTCCTATTTACAAATGTCTTACTATAAGTGATTATTTTATTTCTAAAACTCAATTAGGAATGTAGAAAACATTAATTCCTCACTAAAATAGGATAATTTATTTCTCAAACTTAAAAATTGACCCTCTCCCACTGTTTGTACATCACACATATTATAGATGATGTAGCTAAATATAGAAATGCAGATAATAGTAATATAAACATGAATCAATCAATGGCAGTATCATGTAATTTTATCACAGCCATATATTCTATCAAAATATTTAGGATTACATACATAAAAAATATGTATAATTTGCAGTACAATGAGTTTTGATTCATCTTTTTCCTTATAAAAACTGAGTGAAATAATTATACATGCTATTTTGATAAAATGTCAATAGATAAATTAACATTTATTTGATAATTCAAGTAAAACCATTTAGGACTGAGGATGTTTCGTAGTTGGTAGAGTGTTGGCCTAGCATGCAGGAAGCCTTTGGTAGAATCCCAAGCACTGCTTACAGTGTAAACAGAGCATCTGGGAGTTGGAGTCCAGATGATCAAGAGCTCAAGGTCATCCTCACCTACATAGAAAATTTGAGGCCAGTCTAGTCTATGTGACACCCTATTTCAGAAAACAAAGCTTTGTCAGAAAACAAAAGAAACAAACAAACAGAAGTGGTACTTTTTCTTTAATTTGTCTTTCATATATTAAATCCTTCGTATATAATCTTAACAAAAAGCTCTGTCAGAAACTGGAAGTAGCAACATATGCACAGACATATGATGTCATGCTACCTCATGTGCTTTCTAAATCCATTTTGATATACTATGAAAATATTTCAGGGAAAATCACTACATTTTTGAAATTTAGGAGTGATGAATTAGAGAAGGAACATGGCTTCATGTATTTCAACTTGACCGCAGAATCTAAAATGGAGTAAGACAGAATGAACAGATTTTACCTCCAAACACTCACCGACTGTCAGCTGTCCAGTGAGCTGCCCCATGTGGTTTCTTGCATTCACTGTTACATTCCTGTCAGACTGTAAGACCAATGGACTGTCCTAGGAAACATGCATAAAACAAATAAATCAAACAAAAGTATAACTGTAGTCAGAACACATGAAATCCTGCTGTGTATGTTATCTCAATTTTCTTTATAAACAGTGGGCTGTTGTTTTAACATTTGCTTGAACTGGGTACAAAGATAGTGTCTCAAAATAGTTTTATAGTAGAACAGAACGTTTTCAGGTTTATATCCAGGCAATAACCAGCCAATGGCAGCATTTTCAATTCTCCCCATGGCTCTTAAGCAGGGGTACAAAAGCCCCTACATCTCTTTCCTAATGGTATATAAACTTGTTGGCACAGATAATCCATCCAAATACCACGGAAGAATTTCCTCTAAGTAATTTTCAGACTTCATTATTTAATAAAATTTCCTCAAAACTTCATCCTCTGATCACCGTCAGTACTGACTGATTCAATTCATCACCTTCCTATCCACATTTCTTTTGTTAAAGCACTTATCGAAGGCACAGTTTACTTGTCTTGTGTTGTTTTCACATGTTTATCTTCTTGTTTACTTGATTGTATCCAAAATGACAAAGATTATGGCAGTCAGGTTTACACAGCTGCATGTCCACTATTTCTCCTAATGCAAACAGGAAGTATTTGCTGTGTGTTTATTAAGTAAAAAGCCTATACAATTAATTAATTAAGTCTTTACTGCCTTTTGTTCAGCTTCTCTAATGTGGGGATGCTCTGTGAATTGCATAATGGCTGAGTCATTCTTCTCCTGAAGGTTGTTTTGGTTGTTTGCTTGTTTATATGTGTCCAATTAGATGCTGACCTCAGACTAACTCAGCACATAATAATAGTACATTGAAGGGAAATACAATTGCCTGAGGATGATTCCTGTAGAACTTTTCAAATGTCTACATCAGACCACACACACACAAAAAAAAACCATTATTTATGATTTAAAACAAAGTTGATCATGGACAAATTAGGCACGCACTTATCCAAAAAAATATGTATTATTTTTGTGCACAACACACTTTTATAGGAGCTTGGGCATTTAAGTAATCAAAACACAATAGCTACCTTCTTGGAGCTTAACTTGGGAAACTTAGTTTTGGAAAATTAATGAAAAAATCTCTCTCTGAAATTTCTCTCCCACCTAATTTATACCACTTCTACTTTGAAATCATTACACATGTGTTTTATTTTATTGTTTTAAAATTGTTTTTATTTTGAAAATATAATACAATATATTATATCACATTCTTTTTCATCCTTCAGGTCCTTCCAAATCTTTCTCACTTCCATATTCACACAACTTCATGTTCTTTCTCTTTCTTAAAAAATAAAGAAAAAGAAAAGAAAGAAATGAAGCAATTGAAAATCAGAGTTTGAACTAGTCTTGTGGGTAGAGTCTGATTGATATATCCAGTGTTACCTCCAATAAAGAAAAGTTATTTTTCCTCATAGAAGTTGTTATTTGCAATAGCTTCTATTCCAGGAATGAGACAAGTGCCTAGTTTACCCCCTTCATACTGAGATCATGTCTGCCTTTAGCCTGTGCAGGTCACAGTCTCTGTGAATTCTTATGTGCATCTGTCATGTTGGTCTGGAAAATGCCATTTTCTTAAAAATGTCCTCCACTTCTGGCTCTTATAATTGTCATGTCACTTATTTCCACATAAAATCCTGAGCCTTGAGGTGAGGAATATGTTAAAGATATCCCATTTAGGGCTAAGCACTCCAAAATATCTCACTCTCTGCTCATTATCCAATTGGGGGACATTGTGTTAATTACCATCTAATGCAAGTAGAAGCCCCTCTGGTGAGTTCTGAGTGACCTATGTGTATAGTAATATGTCATTAGCAGTCATTTTATTGCCATGTTCCTTTAGTAGATAAGAGTAGTAGGTGTTCCTATAGAGCTCATGGCACATATAGTCTCCAGTTCTTGGCCTCACTAACAGTATCAGATATGGAATCCATCACATGAAGTGGACCTTAAATAAAAAAGAAATAGATTGTTACTCCCCTATGATTCTTACAACCTTTGCATCTATATCTTGAAGTCAGGTAGTTATTATAACTACTGGTGTTCTATCTTGTTTGACTCCTGATTCATTTTTTTCCTATGACAGTATATATAGTATCTTCTAACACTATAAATACTACCTCATAGGGGATAAAGCTATATTTCTACATATTCTATGCCATAATAATGTGGTGTCTTCGGCAATTTGGTCTTACTGTCTTACTGACAAGATATGGGTAATAACCATAAAATTGGCAATAGTCTGTAGAATTTGGGGAATCTATGGGATTCCTTTGGCCAATAACTGAAAATATGTAACCCATTACACACACACACACACACACACACACACACACACACACACACACACACCTGGAAGCTTCTAGATTAGTGGGTTTCAACATGGGTTTTTAAAAGATCTTTAGTGTTAGGTATCCTTCTCCATATTCTATCTTCTACCATCCCCTCTTACATCCTTTAATCTTTGTGTTGTAATTTCCACTATATCATTTCATAGCACTATGTTTTATATCTCCTTCCTTGGAAGATCCCCTTATCCCCATGGTCCCTTACTAGGTACCTGGATATCGAGAAAAAAATAACCCAATTTAAAATAGGGAATAGAGCTAAGCAAATATTTTTTTTTCAAGAGATGAAACACAAATATCTGGGAAACATTTAAAATGTCCTTAGCCAATAGGGAAAAGAGAATTAAAACTACTTTGAGATGTCACCTTCCAGCAATCAGAATGGCCATGACTCCCCCATCCATGTTAACATGTCTCTTGGTGTTATTCTCGTTCAGTTCATGTTTGTAATCAAGTCATATACATATATATATATATATATGTGTGTGTGTGTGTGTGTGTGTGTGTGTGTGTGTGTGTATGAATATAATGTATGCAAACATAACACCATCATCATCAACTACAACAATTAATGAAAAATGCCAAGAAGTTGAAAGAGAGCAAAGATTAGGGAAAATATTATTTTAAAGTGTGTGAATTTGTTTATGTTGCAATGGTTTAACTCTGATACTGTGATACATTGCCTGTCTAAAACGCCTGATGGTCTAATAAAGAACTGAATGTCCCACAGCAAGGCAAGAGAAAGTATAGGTGGGGCTGGCAGGCAGAGAGAATATATAGAAGGAGAAATCTAAGAGAAAAGAAGTAGCCAGAGAAGGAGGAGGACATCAGGGGCCAGCCACCCAGCTACACAACCAGCAATGGAGTAAGAAAAAAAAAAGATATACAAAAATAGGGAAAGGTAAAATCCTATAGGCAATAGGTAGACAGGATAATTTAAATTAAGAAAAGTTGGCAAGAAACAAACCAAGATAATGTTGGACACTTATAAGTAAGAATAAGACTCCATGTGTGAATTTATTTGATAGCTGGGTAGTGGGCCCCCCAAAAGAACAAAGAGCCAAAAGAGTAAAACCAACACCACCACAAGGGATACACATGGGAGGGTATGGAGTGAGGAAAATGTAGTAATTATAACCTTAAAATATAAAAATAAAGAATGCACAAAATTAATAAAATGAATAACAGCAGATGCTGTTGAGTATGTGGGGAAAGGGGAATACCTAGTCATTACAAGTATTGCTACAGCTTCTATGAAAATAATTGTGGAAGTGCGTCAAAAGCTGAAAATAAATCTACCACAAAATACAGTTAAGCTGCTCTTGAGAATACACCCAAAGAATTCTACATCTATTATGGAGATACTTGCTGTAGAAACAGCCTAATTGCCATCAACTGATGAATGGATAATGAAAATATCGTATAATTACAAAATTGATTATTGAGCTATTCAGAAAAACATAATTATGAAAATTTCAGGCAAATAGATGTAGCTGGAAACAATCATTCTAAGTAACCCAGAGAACAAAAGACAAACATCATGCTTCCTCAGGTATGTGGATGTGAGCTTTAATGATTTAGATCAGTGTTTTGTGAACATATATTTTATATACAAGCCACCTAAACACTGAATATTAGGATTTGGTATTATTTATTTGACTATGCATGAGACTATATTATAGACATTTCCTAAACCTACCTTAGACTCTTCTAACTCTAAGCAAGTATGCAAGGAGATGATAAAAATTATACACATATGTGAAACACTCAACACACACAACACTCGCAAACAAACCTTTATGAAGTGAGATTTTCAAATACATTCAAACTCAGATTTGACATGATCTTATTTTTAAAATAATTTTCCAAATTTAAAGAAAATGTTTATTCTATTAAGATTTTGTTGTACAAAATGACTACAGCTAATTTTATTCTGTTTTTCTCTTATCCCAACTCAGATTGTTTAGCTAGAAATGAAGTTTTATTTCTGCATTAAGAGGAACTGATGTCATCATATTATAACATGAACATTAAAGAATATGTAAAAATACATCTAGCCACTTCTCTCTAAGTATACCTATAGACATCCATGTTTGAAAACACTGAATCACTTTAAATCAATTATGTCATTCCTGTCGTATAACATGTCCAAATTAGGTTGACAGTACAGGTTGTCCACTAAGAAATGATTCCAGACAAGCGTTTATACCAAGTACCAACACTGCAGTGTCTGATAATAGAATATATTTTGTGTGGCCCACAGACATACACAAAACAATGACATTCTCTATTGGTAAAATCGTGTAGACATTTTTAGAGAGTGTTATGAAACAGAGGCCATGAATTTGAAAGAGAACAGGAAGAGTTATCTGGAATGGTTTTGAGGGCTGAGAGGGGAAGGAGTGCCATATATTAGATAATGACTGTGATGTAAGAAATGAACCCAAATGTTTCTCATAATTCCAAAGTTGTAAATAACTGAGTAGTCAAATTTGAATTACATCACTTTTAAGCATTTGATAGATATCATTTTGTTTAGATCCATAAAATGTATGAGATTATTTGCTTTCATTTGAATTACTAGACATATTAAAATGAACATGTATGAATATAAGTATAATGAAAAGCATAACATGCTGGT